TCTAAAAAAAAATAAAAAAAAAGTTATTTTCAAAAAAGGCATTAATCTAAAAAAGTATTTAAAAAACCTATTAGATTTTTCAAGTGTTTTTGTTTCCTTTTAATTCATTACACTGAAAAAAAAAAATGAGCAATGTTGTAATAAGAAATTAATTTGCTGAAAATTTTTAATAATTCTATTTCTTAGTGGAAGAAATCACACTTTTTCTCACAGTAACTTTCTTGTTGAAAATAAGTTTTCTAGATTTGGAAAAAAACAATTTTGGATTAAAATTCTCAAGTTGTCTGTCAAAAATTGTTTTTTCGATTTTATAAATTAAAACAGTTTTCTTTGTACATGTACACAATAAAATTAAAATAAAATAACTGAAATAATAATTATTAACAACAAAATAACTTTAAAAAAATTATTGGAAGATATAATCAACGCAATTCTCTTTTCATCGCTGAATTAAATTTATATTTCTTCTATTTTGACTTTGAATTTTTTTTTTTATAGTTACTTCATCATTATGACAAAAATTACATGGAACTGTAATTAAACTCAATGAATATAATAATTATTTTAGTTGATTTTTTTTATTATTTCTTATATTTTTTTTTTAGTAACGTAGATGTTTCAAGCATGAAGCTATTAATTGAGTGCTACGATAAATATCAATATGTATATATTTTCCTTTAAAACACGATTTTTACAACGTTCTTATCAACTACCTTACAGCCTACTACGTTTACATGATAATGTTTCAACCATAAAATGTTGAATTATTAAATGGAAAATAGAGTCATCCATAAAGAAGCTATGGAACTGAGAGGAAGATAGAAGTTAATTAAAGTTAATTCAAAATTTACAGAAATAAGTTAACTTATTAGTCTTGTGTAATAATTGAAGGAAAAATATCTAAATAGTAAAATCACAGAACAAGTGGAACGTAGATTTCTTCATTGAGAAAAAAAAAGTATGTGCGGTCATTATTTAACTCGACGAACTAATCACAGCATAAGTAATAAGAAGACACAAGTTACAAAATCAAATCGATTTAAATTAAAAAGAAAATCATGTTAGGCTTCCGTCAAAAACATGTTTTTAAGAATTAAAAAAAAAATTTAAGTAGCTCTGTTCAGAGAAAAAGAATTTTTTACGTGTTATCTAAATGGGAAAACGAAATCTCAATGAGCCTCTCGTAGAATTAAGAGATCGAACTGTTTTTCTGAGAGGATTTTTTTTAGTACTTAAGAGTTACTTGATAAGAATTAAGTATAGAAAAATTACTTTTTACAGCCACTGTAATATATTAATATTACTTTCTCAAATAGTTTAAAAAGATATAAACATATCTTCTAAAGCCATAAAACAACGAAAAAATTAGAGTTTCCCGAAATTTACCTAAATAAATTCGAGTTAAATTAACGACGCGGTTTATAAAATGATTTCATTAAATTAAAAGTTATTTCAAGCAAAATAACAATATCGTTAAAATTTAATAATTTAATTGCAATATGAATAATTTTTGTAAATAATCATCTTTAACTTTTCGTTGTTTTGTGATATATTTTAGTATAATCTCAATTATAATGATTTATGAAAGGTACTTTTATAGTTGATCCCATCTAATATATACAAATTCATAGTTATGTTATTGATGATAACATTAACGTAAACATTCATGATTTTCTGATCATAGTGAGATGAAGAAATCAAATTTTTTCATTCAAAACAGTTTTGAAAATTTAACATTAAGAAATACTTTTGTTTTTATAGTTTACATTATTTACGGTTGTTGTGATCTTTAAAATCACAATACAATAATTTTATTGCAATTTTTCATATAAATTAACACTATAATAACGATATATTTTCATCAGAGCTATTTCTTCACATTCTTTATATATATTTTATGTATTAATTTTCAATTAAAAAAGAAAATATTTATAAACAAGATATGTAACTCGATCATTTCTATCGATCATTTAATTTCTCGAAGCTTATGTCATAAAATTTCTTAGTTTACTTATTACGAATGTCAGTTTGAAAAAAAATTACATACTAATACTAATCTGCGCAACAATTTTACGCATTTGCAAAAATTTACATGGGTTATTCGATCAAAACAATGTTGTTCAAAACTAAACTCCAATCATCTTTTTGCGACGTTTCTATTTTTTATCAAAGTAATTTTCGTTTCAAAATAAATAAATAAATAATCAAAATAAAAGAATTTTATTGAATCTTTGCAAAAGTATAACCTTTGCAAAAGTATGATTTTTTTGGTAAAATAACCCATGGATATTTATATTAGTGTCGTGGAAAAACTAACTACTTTTTTTCAAGTCTGTAAAAGTATATTAATTTGTTATATTTTAGGAGTCCTCCCCGAAAATCAGTCGAATCCAAAAATTCTTTGGGATTGTTCAAGATTTTTTGAAAATTTCAAAATCATAAAAAATTTAATTCTCTTCATTTTCTAGTATGTCAACTTAATGAAAAAAGAAATTCTTCGAGATTTAAAAAAATGAAAAAAAATCTTGAGTGACTCCCAAAAATTTTTCTATCGGACTAATTTTTAAAAACGACCCTTGAAACATTAAAAAGTCTCATATCTTCATATATGATTCGAAAAAAATAGTGAATTTTTTGTCGTCACTTTATATATTCTTTTTATAATTCACTATTTTTCAATTATTTGCTTCGTTTAAATGCGTTGAGTGCATGTTTAATAAGTACATTTTAGAACTATTATTATTTTAATCCTTATAAATAATTGTTATAATTATGGTACAGTTCTAATCATGCATCCTTGTGATCGTTCAATTCGTAAATATCGAACATATTTTAAAAAAATATTATTAACAAGTTGGTGCATAACCAAGATTTTTCCTCTGAAGAAATAGCGATATTTCACGGAAAGTTGGACGACTATTTTCATCTCGTCTCCAGCATTCCAACATCAAATCATAAATATCTTTACTAGATGTTTTTGGTTTTGGTAAATATTCAAATAGCACACGTACTTTTGGATCATTTTCATTTCTACCACTATTGCAATTATCATTTTCGGTTTGCAATTGTTCAAGATTTTCAACAACTTCTTCGTCTGTTAAATCTTCATACGGCACATGCCGACCAAGATTTAGAATTTCCCAAAGCGTTACCGCAAAGGCCCAAACGTCGCTTTTGGTTGTATATTTCCTCTGTAAATAATTCAAAATAAATTTATTTATTATGTAATAAATATTGTCAACCGTTAATATTAATTTTATTTACCAGGAAAACACATTCCCAGGCCATCCAACGTACTGGTAATAATGCACCATCACTAACTTGGTAATAATCACCAGCATATAATTCATTGTCTGTCCCAAAATCAGAAATTTTAATAAGATACGCCTTACCAACTAAACAATTCCTGTGAACAAAATAACAATTATTATTACTATTACTCTTACTATTCTAATAAACATTATTATTACAAAATTATTTAAACCAACCTAGTAGCTAAATCACGATGAACAAAATTTAAATTTTCTAAATATCGCATCCCTGATGCGATTTGGGCAGCCATATAAATAAGACAGTTAAAGCTAAGGGTTTTCACACCATGTGGCATTGAATGTGCATCTTCGACAGTAATATGAGTCTTTAAAAATTGACAAAGATCACTGTGTTCTAAATATTCCATTACGACACAATAAGGTTCTTCGCGACAGCATACTCCTAAAACTCGAGCTATATTGACATCTTCTAATGCCGCTAAAATTCTTACATCACGTTGAAAGTCGAGTCTGAAAATAATTAAATGAATAGATTACTAAATTTTTAATAAGTTATAAATCATGATTCTTTTAAATAAACAATCGAAAATCAACTTATTAAGTAATTTTTTAACATATGCAAGACTGTAAATTGATCAATTTACGATATTAAAAATTTTAGTTTGTAAATTCAAGTTAAAAATTTCGAAAATAACAATTTTTACAGTTGTTCAAAGAAAATTTTCATTTTTTTTTTTCTGAGTTTATTAAAAATCATAATTTTTAAATTTTTAATCACAAAAAATTTTATAGTATTATATTAAATTTTTTCTAATTTGTAAATTTCTCAGATGCTTATTAATTGTTAAATCTAAAAAAATATTATTAATAAAATATTCAATACTTTTTTTTTTAAATTTCAATAATCAATTTACTTTTTTGTATTGTTATCATATTCACATTTATCAAAAATTGGGTTCCCCAATTTCTTCTTAAGCACATTAAACTAAATTTTTAAATTTCAAAAATTCAAAGTCAGTATAAAAGCAAATTTTTTTATAAAACTGTTATTATTATTATTATAATAAAGCTTAAAAAAACATGATTGGTGAAAAAAATTGTTCCAAACAATGTTTGTCGAAAAACCATAAAATTTAAAAACTTAAAAATTGTGGATAGAATTTAACCCGTAGTGGTCATTAAGGGTCTAAATTACCCCAGGCAATTTTTGAGTTACTCTTGCTTCGAAGATAATATCATTCAAAATGGTATCTGTGATACCATCTATTATTGTTTGAAGATTTTTTGGAATTCATGGAAATTTACGATTTCAATTGCACAAATAAATATACTTTTTGAAAAGCTCGACATGACACCACTTTTTTTTCAAAGTATGCGATATCCGGAGTAGAACCCCGGAGGTCATTTTCATTTATCTTAAAAAATAAAGCTTTTATGAAGTTTTTAGTAAAAAAAAGTCAAATTTTTCGAAATTTAACTTTCTCGCATTTTTTTTTTATAATTAAACAATTAAAAAAAAAAAAATTCAAAAACGATTGATTGGGTTATTCAACGGAAGTGTTAAGAATTACTCTCATTACTCTCTTCAAGAATTTTTCTGTTCGACTCAACATAATTTAATTCTTCAAAATGATTTTCTTGTTTTAAAATTTTCCTCCTTCAATTGAGATAATATTATTATCAGTGTACGCCTAATAATTATCACAATGTAAATTTTTCTACTAACTTTTCTTTTTCACTGGCATCAGGCAGTAAAAATTTCACAGCGACAAGTCTTTTGCCAAGTGTATTAGAATTAGTACCATACTCTGGAATCCCTTCAGCTTCAGCTACATAGACCTATCAAAATAAAAAAAAATAAAATAAAATAAGTGCAATTTAATGCAAAAATAAAAAAAAAAAACAAAGTAGTTTTTATAATTATACCGATCCAAATGCTCCCTCGGCAAGTTTAGAAAGCATTCGTAGCCGGTGCCGTGGGAATAATGGTACTGTTGACTGTTCTAGTCGTTTTTTCAGCGCTGCAAGAACTTCTTGCTGTGTTGGTGACTAATAAATAAAAAAAAAAAAAAAAAAAATAAAAAAAATAAAAAAAAAACAGAACAAATAATATTTAGCTTTATTGTCAAAAGTTAATTATTAAAAGTTAAAATTTATCGTAATGAATAAAATTAAAAGTGTAACCTTTTTATCGTCAATACGACTGTTACGCGAGGATGTTTTAGAAAAAATACTGTCTTGATCGTCGCTGGCACTTACACTAGAAACAGAACTAGATGGAATTTCATGTGTTGAAAAGGTGCCCTCGGGATTGAGAAGAGGGACCGTTACGACCTCTGGAACTGAATAATTATACAATTAATTAACTTGATTGCTCATCATATCTGTTTGGGTCACAAACACTCAGTACTCTGTACTCGTACCGGCAGCGTAATTGATACCAGTGCCCATATTGTTCAACATCATATCCTTCATTTCCATAATAATAGTGCTGTAGCTGTAGTACGGAGCATATTTAAGAGCTTGATAAGGCTCTTGGTACTCATCTAATTTAACGAGGTCTAAAAGTCGATTGTCAAGTTCACGCGGTAATGTTGAAGTTGTGCCACCACCAGCGTATCGTCTACAAAATTCATTTTCATTACCTTGTATAAACACATTATTTTTAATGTAATTAAATATTACCCTTCGTCTTCTTCTAATGTGTAAGCCATTAGTGCGGCTCCTTTTTCAACAGTCGCACACGTTGACCCAAGATGCGAAGGAACTTTTACTGCTACAGGACTTGCAAAACATTTACGCTGTCTATGCCGTGATACGATAAAAAATATTGCTACAGCTAATAATAAAATTATTGCTGTAAGAACACCAATTACCACTGCCATATATGTAGGATCATCATGCTGGGCTGTTAATACTGGAAGTTCACTGTCTGATACTGCATTTTTATTGTTTATAAAAAACTCGTCTGGCAGTGATGATAAATCTGTTGTCACAAATTCTTCTGGTGTAAAATTACCGTGAGCTATATCTGCAAATTTATATGAAAGTTGAATATCATTTTTTCCTATAAGGCACTTTAAAAATTAATCGAGTAAGTAAAAATTCTCTTATTTGGATAAAAGTGGGGACCATGTTATTTTTGGCGATAAAATCAATATGATTCGATGTCTTTTTAACATTTACTTATTTTTTTTATTGTTTATCGAAAATAGGACAGTTTAAAATAATAAAAAAAAAAAACACTTTGCCTGTTTTAAATGAAAAAAAAATTAAGAAAACGGTTAACTCTAATAAAGGCCATCCCTGCAACGTCCCGCTAATTCCATAACTAAACGCTTAAAATTGTACTCATGAAATTCTTAAGCCCTTCGAGTTTAAAAAATTAGCTGTTCTATGCTTTTGAGCTCTTCGAGCTAGAAGTTTAATAAAACACTATTCTTCAAATTTTTAAACTGCGATTACTTTTAAATGAATAAACCAATTTTCACACGGTTGATAGCATTCAACGCAGTTTTTTGAATCCTATGATTTACTTTTAAACACAAATTGATCAGACCGAAAATTTTGGAGAAATTTGAAAAATTCACTGTTTCCGAATTTTTTCGATAACGATAACTCACGAACGAATCAACCAATTGATCGGTAAAGCCGTTTAAAAGTTATTCCAAAATAAGCACATTTGAAAGAAATTGTTTTATCAGTCCAATTAAAGCTCGACGTTACTATTTTTTATAATAATATATACAGTTTTTTAAAATACACAAAAAGTTATGCAATTTTTTTGTTTTATTATTTTTCTGAAAGTATTATTGTTCAGACCAGCAAAAAAGCAGATAAAATTGTAAATTATTAAAATGATAAATTACCATTAAATTACGTCTACTTAACACTTCTAACGACCAAAATTATTAAAAATTGAACACTATTATATAACTCCAATTAACACTAAAAAAAATAAAATGAGTCCAACCACAAAAGTTTACTCCCTACCGTAGTCGCTCATGACCTTAATAGTTTATGCGACTTTAAACAAATAGAAAAAAAAAAAAAAAAAAAAAACGTTTATATCGTAGAATTCCATATGAATAAGTTCTATAATTATTCTCTTGCAACTGAAAATACTAAAATAATTATCAATTTAACTGATATTTAATTTACAGTTGTCAATATATATTTACCAGAATCAAATATAACTTCGCTAAGCATAATCCATTTTGATGAAAAGTGGAGACGTAATATTATGAATTTTCCAACACGGTGGTGAAGTTTAATTGTAATATTACGTGAAGTTTCGAATATTTTATCCTCCATGTATGTATAAACAATCGGTTCACCACTGAAATAAGTTCCTCCAATACTGAATAACACATCTACTTGCGAAAATACCTGAAAACATTATTAATATAAATTAGAAGCTGAACTAACTTTCTGCAGAGACAAATTATTAATTTTAATGATTCCGCCATTCAAAATATGCATTAAGCAATTTTAATTATAAAAAACCAAAATTACCGAAAATAATAAAAACTCACAGGAAGAGAAAGTTAGTTTTAAAAAATACGCTTTTCTTCTTGAATTTCAAATAAAATAAATATGTTGAATGCGTACTTGATGTGAAAAATTACTAGATTTATTGTAACTATTGTGATAATTAAAAATTTAATTTTCCAATGCTACAAGTCAATTTTTAAAAAACATCTAAAGGTCATGAAAAAAATCTACGAATCTTCTTATCCAATCTAATTATTTAAAAATGAAAATATTAAAATAAACATAATAATATAAAAAATAAAATGATTGTTTTCATACTTGTACATCTCTACTGAATTGATTATTACAATAAAGATGAACCGCAGCAAATTCTCGTACAGTATCAAATTCAAATTTTATTTCGATAGGTTCATTAGCACGAGTATCGTTTCTCCAAGCGACCCATCCTTGACTACGAGCAGAATCATAGTATCCCATTTTAAAATTATCCGGTCCAATTTTGCTATCAACTAATTGTCCTAAACCACGACGTAATTCCCCATCCCAGTGGCCATCGTAACTTGCATCAAAGAACTCCCATTCATTTCCTCTCGTGTCGCCTTGGGGCATCGAGTAAGCCACTATACCATCTGTAATTATTAATTTAATAACCATTACCACTTCATTAAACTTAATAGCAATAAAATTTGCTCAGTTTTTTTTTTTAACAGTAAGTATATAATTATGTAATTTAAAATATATAATTGAAGTACTAAATTCAAATTACCCGTCCAAAGACACCCGTATAACTCAACTCGCATACAAACAGTTCGCCGATGATTACTGTAGGGAAAAAATCTTATTTTACTTGCCCACAATGGTGGATCTAATTCATGCTTGTTCTCTAAATAGGTATTTGTATTTCCTTTAAGGATCTGAAAAATAATAAAATTTTATTACTCTACGAAATTTATCTAATAATAATCATTGAAATACATACACACTGATAAAAAACTATCTTGATTAAAAAAAAATAATCTTTCCAAAAAACTTATTTTAACAACAACCGATTGTCGCTTCAAGAATTTTTTGTCTAGGGGCACACCTAGTGTGACAGTCTAAAAAAAAGGCGATTTTTGGGAATTAAAAAAAAAACTACTGAATCAATTGTCTTAAAATTTTAATGGCATATTTATACATATTTTAAGAATACACAGTAAAATTTTTGAAGAAAAAAATTAAATATTTTTCGAGTTACACGCGATCTCCGACGGCGCTAAAAAAAAAAAGATCTTCTACTGCTGCAGTGGTTCCGAACTAGAAGATATTGTCCGTACAATGATCTATGGCCGAAAAAAAATGTCAAAAATTGACAAAATGGCGGCGTTTTAAAAAAAAAAGTTGAATTTTATTTAAAATTTTGGTCGTTTTTAGCCTGCCAAAATTCGATTTTTGATCAGATCAAAAAACTGGTAGGTCATTGTATGGAGAACTATATATACAGAACATGCAGAAAAAAATTTGATAGTGTTCGGATCATTTGTCTTCGAGTAATCACTGCAGCAAATTCGAAAAATTCTGTTTCGAGAAAAATGCGTTTAAAGATAAAATGATCCTATTCTAACTGCCGAGCGGCTACTCTAGAAATGGCTGTAACTCGAAAACTATTTGAGATATCGATTAAAAATTTTAGTATGTTATATTTAAAGGTATAACCTATCGAAGTATGAAACAAAAAAAATCGATTTTTTTAAAATTTCATACTAGGTGTGCCCCTTAAATCTCATCATCGTGACTTAAAATACGAATATCTTCCATTAATAAAAATTACCCCTTTATTCAAGATTATATTAATTTTAATTGGTAAAATCGAATTTTTCATCCAAGAATAATTCTCGAAAATTAACAATAATTTTGTTTTCTTTTACGAACTTTATATTCTTGGTTAAAGAACAAGTTTCGTTATTGAAAATAGCAAAAAAATCTTTAAAAAGAACGAAATTTTTACTTCAACATATTCTGAAACGTATTAAAGATTTTTTTTACACCGAAAGTACCCGAAATACGAGAATTTCTAGTTTTAACGATATTCTTGAAATAATTCGATAATATCTTAACTGAACGTTACCGCGTATCTTAATCCAAGAAAAAGAAACTGTTGGACAAAGTATGTATTTATCTTGTTTGAAAACAGTAAAGTGCTTCGTTGAAGTAGAATTCTACTGAAGAATTTTCTGCTCATCCAAGAGTTTTAATTTATTGATTCAAGAGTCCATTTCTTGAATTAAGAAAACTGAATAACTTAAAACAAAAGTGCAATCTCGAATAAAAATTTTTTACGAGTTGTTTATTTTTCAGTATAATACCGGTGATAAAAACTAATATATTTATATATAATAAAAATATTATTTAAAATCATAAAAATATCTTTAATTATATAAAATTAAACATAATCATAAAAAAAATTTTTTTTTGAATTCTAAGTACATTGAATGTTGGTACAAAAAAATTACAAAAGATGAAATGAAATATTGAATAAATAATAAATGAAAGAAATAAGCTTTAAATAGATAAGTAGGTATTTAAAGAAAAGATTTATTGAAGCTTTTACCTCCTTTCCTTTGATGTCTCTGTACCGTACCCATTTACCGAGCCGCGGGCGCCAATATTCTAACAAATAACCCTCTGCGTACTCAACTCCCAATCCATTTCCAAAACGGCCTTGAGTATTTGTACCAGTGATCACATGTACAGAATGCAAATCGATTTCAAGCCATTCACGAGGCTCACTGGTAATTTCGTCTTTAGGACACCAGGCTCCTCCATGATTCTCGGTCCTCAGTCTGTTAATGCATACAGAAATTACAACATTTAATTATTCAATCTTTTATTACTAGGTATGTTACTTGTAAAATAACTAATAAATAAATTTTATTTTTAATTAAAATATTGATTTTTAGACCTCGATTGACGTGGTCCCACATTTCCACTATCGAAACTAGAACTTGCAGTAATGTCTGCATCTGAGATTGCACCGGATTCCATTCCTAATGGATTTATACATTGTGCTGAAAGAAATTTTTAATATTTTTATTCTTTTAAAATTAATTTGATAAATAATTAATTAATTTTTATTATTGTTAATTTTTTTTATATATTCATTCATAAATAAATTACTTCAAGTATCAAAGTATATTCTCCCCCTCATAATATTTATGAACTTGTTGGAAGTTAATCAAGAAATATTTTTAATAAGGAGAATTTACTTATACAGCAAAATAAATCTAACATATGTATATGGTGTAGTATTATAATGATATAAATGACTAGTATAGTGGTAAGAACAAAAAATGATATCACTCACAAAGATCTATACTGCGTGCTGTTGAGGCAATACAAAAAAGACACATGAAAAATCGCTGAATAATTAATGAGACAACGTCACAGAAGCGTGAGATTTTCATCGTAGTTCCGTTTTACGGGGTTCTCTCACTATTATAATCTTTCTTACTGACATAAAGTCTACCTTATTATCGTTTAATCTGAAACAAAATAATAATAATAATAATAATAATAATAATAATAATAATAACAATATTAATATTATTTATGGAATATTAATTTGTCACCATAATCTCTATCCAATTAATGATATATAACTTTACACAAAATTCAAAATTTCATTCTGAAATATCATATCGCAGTCCTGCTGGGCTCATACATTACAGCAATTAATATTTTTATTTTTATTTTGCATGCTCTTATCTTTTAAATTTTTTATTATTAGACTCTCTTTCTGTGATATATTAATTATATATTGTGATATACTCAAAATTAATTTTACTATTAATACTTATATCAAGCCTATTATTATTATTATAGAAATGTATTTCATCTAAGTATATACTTGCTTACACTTACAGATGTGTAAATACACAAATTGTAATTATTTTTTACTAGTTATAACAAATTTTAAAAAGTGTTAGTCGTGCAATTGGATTCATTTCTGTTGGACCTCCTAATGTAATAAATCCTCCTTAAGTAAATAAATAAATTCTTAAAACTGAAATTAGAAAACGTCAGACGAATTGTTTGTTTTATTAAACTTCTAAATTAATTCTAAACTATTATTTTACAAATTGCATTTAAAATTTTCAAAATTTCTAAAAATACATCTTTTTTTATTTTAATTTCTTTGTTGAGAAAATTCTAAAAATTTTTAAGTATCAATTTTGGTTTAATTTCAAAGTTCTAAAAAAAGTAATAATAAAATATCTTTTATTACATAACTATATTTAAAAGCAAACAATAATAACACTGTAAATTTAGAAGAAAAAAAAGATACTTATATTCATTAAATTAATGCATTAATTTCCAGTCCGTTTCATCAAAATAATTGAAGAGATTAGGCAAAAAGGGTGTGAGACAAAGAAATTTTCTCGTGTAAATACTGGTTTTTAGTTCAGCAAATTTTACTCTTTCAGAAAGCTTACATTAAAAAAAAAAAAAAAAGTGTTGTCCTTTTTTTGTACTCTTTTAGTTCCAATCCCTTAAATTTTCTTTTACAGAAATTTTTTTTCCTTTTTCAAAAGCAATTAGTGTTTATTGGCACCAAAATAAACAAAAGTATTAATTTTTTACATAATCCTTGGTCTATTTTTCATTATATTAATTTTAATTACAATTAAACGTGAATTTAAAATGATAAATATATGCTATCATAATATTTATCCAATATTGATTAATAAATTTTCCGCAAATATTTGATTAATAGCCATCGAAGAGTACACATCAGTATTAATTAAATTAAGAACAATAATAAAAACAAAATGAGTAAAATAAAGAAAGCATGTAAAAAATAAAACTAATTAATATTCTATAAATAAAGTGAAAAAATAATGTTATTTAATGAGCTTACTTTTTTAATAAGCTTTCATTATTGAATTTGCATGCCCCAGTTTGCTCCATCTAACGATAGAAGAATCACAAGCACGCACTGTCAAATAAGAAATGATTGGCTCTTTAGACTGTGATTGAATTTAAATAATGTCAAAACATTAATTATTTTAATTGATTATCGAAAAATCATTTTTAAAAATATTTAATAACGGTATTAACGGTAGTAAAATTCTATTTAACAGTCTATAAATTATAATTGACAATGTTAAAAAAATAATGACAATATATCATGTTGATAAATGAAAGATTTAATAAACTGTTATTCGCGATAATTTATACTGATTCTAGTGGGACGGAGTGTAGAGTATACTGCGAGAAAATTAAATACGATCGATAAAATTGTTAGTGACAATGCATATCATTCGCAACTCCAAGACAAACTGAGGGTTGGTGAGGGTCGACCAACCCTCTGAGGGACACAAGTACCCGACGCCACCCTGACCTGTGGCGACATAGGGAACTCCGGTAAGCGCCAGATGTCGATCTTTTTCCCTCAGACGTACATACGTACCAATGTACCTATGGTCCTATGCCTTTCAACTTTCCCTTCACTTTTATTCTTTATTATCTTTTTTTACTATAGTTTTTTTCACCTCTTTGCTCCATTGATTTCATCGAACAAACATAGATTCTCTTTTATGTTTTTTATTTCTATTCACTTTTATATCTTTTCATTCTATTACTAGTTGAGTGTATTCTATATTCTACATTATTATATCATCCATATGCTTTACTCATGCAGTTGTGTTTGAGTAAAAAAGCGATAGGGTGATTGTGGACGAAAATGTGCGACCTGAGTCCACGAATAATTTAAATTTTCATTAATTATTTCTAGTCAAACAAGTCTGATTTTATTAATAACTCCCAATATTCTTTCATTTTTATTATTATTTTCAGATAAAAAAAAATTAGTTGAAAATCAAACCTTCTCAATAATAGATAAGTTTTGTTTACCGCAAGAAGAAATGGATCAATCCAATTTTCATTACACTGAGAGAAAAAATTTATTTTAAAAAAAAATAAGCAATGTAATGATAAGAAGTTAATTTGTGGTAAATTTTAAACAATTTTAATTCTTAGCTGAAGAAATAAAAATTTTTCTCACAATAACTTTCTTGTTGAAAAAATGTTTTCTAGATTTAGGAAAAAATAATTTTGGATAAAAATTCGCAAGTTGTCTATTTAAGTCACCTAATTATACATAAATTTATAAAATGATATATAATTAAATATGACCTTTTTTTATTACACACATGGATATTAAAAATAATTTATAAAATCAATAAACTATTAAATTGTACCTATGATCCAATAAAACTATTACAAATTCAGCATTTGTATTTTTAAATTCTATATTTAAATTATTGTTATTATTGTAATCATATGGTATTATATATAATCACATATAATAAGATATAATGATATCTTCCCATATATAGCTAGATCTTACCAAAATTAAATTCTGAATCTATCTTACCGTTTGGATCCAATTACATATATGTAATCAGATTTAATAATTTTCTCTTGTTTTGATTTCATACTTACACTATTTAAATAAAGATACTGTTTCAATGAGGATCTTAAAAACTTACAAAGGGAATTTTATGAGAAAAGGGAATAAATAAAATATAAATGAACTTTAAATTCTATATATTCCATTATTACATATTGTAGAAATAATTCAGCTATTTGAAAACATTTATTATTGGTATATAATAATTTCACTTTGTGTTTGTAATTTTTTTTGTAAACGTGTATTTGTGTAGGTGTGGAATTTCCATGTGCGTGTGGGGCACCATTAATTAATTACACTTGGTGGTTACTCAATATATAATTTATGATACAATTATATACAAAAAGGGAGTTGAGTTTTTTATTATCGCTTGGGTACTTTATAAATTACATTCATATGTACATAAAATAAATAAACTTGATTTTTTTTTTTTTTTTTTTGTTAAAAATTCATACATTACATAACTCGCGCAGTTACATAGAAATTTTCGCACTTTTTATATTTTTATATTTATATTTATATATACGTATATATACATACATATATATTTATATTTTTTTTCTTTTTTATTGTGAGTCGTTGATTTTTAATCTAAACCTAAAGTTGTATTAAAATTCAATTTGAGTTTTGAGATTTACAGGTGGGACGTTCCAGTCCAGAAATACAAGGCAAATTTAAGAAAACAAAATTAAAAATTTTAATAATTTTCAAGGATTTATCTTTTTTTTTATTTTTGTGATACTCTACTCTACTCGTTATTATTAATTACCCCTAAATGCTCCTATTTATTATCTTATAATGATTGTATATCGTTTAAAATAGTCCATTAATGCAAGATTTATTCTTTTAATATTTTTCTAAATTTATCATTCGATTATGTTTTTTTTTTGTAAATGAAAATAGATCAAAAAAATTAATCTTTTTTTGTCATTTTATCGCAAGTTACTAGTAATCATAATTTTTATGATTATTTTTATTAGCGAGTCTATTTATTATTTTTTAAAAGAATTAACATTTTTTTAAAATATATAAAACTTTTTTTTCGTTAGTATTTCTTCCTAATACAAAATTCGCAGTAACTAACATCGACAATTAATTGATTATCATATCAGCTCATGTGTGTTTTTTTTTATTCTTAATATTATTTTTTTATTAAAAAGATTCTAACAATAAATTGTATATATAGTATTGCTGAGTTCGATATCATATAGTAGTTTATAATAACGTCAGCGTAAAAATTCTCTTTCTAAATACATATTATAAATCTTTTCTACTTCAACGATAAAGATAAAAAGCAAAGCATTTATTTCTTCTTTTTTTTTTTTTAATTTTTTTATTTATAATAATTTTGTATTTTCCTGAAAAATTCCCTTTGAAACGACATTAAGAATTTAATAACGTGATTATCTACAAGCCATGTTATGTTTAGATAACGCTTACCAGAAGCTTAAAAACTAAAAGCAACTACAAATTTTCGTAATTGTTTAGTTTAACGGTCATTTGGTTTTTTTGGTATAAAATATTGAAATTGTTAAACATTTTTTATTAATTTTTTTTTACAGCGGAATTGCGATAATAATGATGAAAATTTGTTAAAAAAATTGGTAATATTAAAAATTTTTTTTTAATTATTTTATTTTTGATGAATTTCAAAAACAAAAAATACGTGATTACTCATAAAAATTATAAATATCATGTTTATGGACTGAAGTATTGTAGATCATAAAACTAAACAATTACCAAAAGTTTATCCAATAATTTAAATCATAATGTTTTGCTTATAGAATACTTAAATTTTTTTAATATGTTTAAATAAATAAAAATTGTATGCTTGTAAAAGGAGCAAATAATACTATTAAATTGCGAAAAAATTGAATCATTAAATAAAAAAAATTAATCAAAAAAATACAGTATGTTTTCTTAGCAAAAATTCTGAACAGGTACAAATCCCCACCAGATTCTCGTATCATATGCTATTTTTCACTCATTAATTATTTTTTTTTCTTTTTTATTTAGAGTTATTTCGTACAAATAAAATATCGAGAAGTGTATTTCCATTACGACTTGTAAATTTTATATTAATTTTTAGCAATCTATATTTTATAAGATTACATAAAGTGTATTTGATCGTCCAGTACGCATCATAAAAATTGACATTTGCCGTTTTTTTTTTATTGTGTATTTTACACTAAATTCTCGATATAAAACTCTACGAAAAAAGAGATCTAAAGAGACAAAAAAATATTAATCGTTTATAGATTTCCAGTTGAATAAAATAGAGGCTTAAAATTTTTTTTAAAATAAAGTAATGCATTTGTTTTCGTCAACGAATACATGCACAGTAATAGCTCACAAATGGAAGTTTCCATTTAACAACAATATTCATATTGTGACCCTTTTTTTTTATCACGCACTTAAAAATCATAGTCCCACTTTTAGAGAGTAGTGGTAACTTCCGTCACTTGAACTGCTTCCATTCGTAAAGTTATACGCGACTGTAGAAAATTTTTCACCCATATATATTTATCGCTTATAATTTTTTTTTTTCAACGACATAAACAGTAAGTCAAAAATCAACCATAATCGCTGCTCATTTTTTTTTTTTAATCGTTGTTATATAAAAGTATAGACGTTGTAATAATACATAGTAATAAGCCAACAAAGCTTCGATGAATCGAGTATCTATAAATGGTAAACCTCATATTATATTAATTAATAAGAAAATTATCATTTCTTATTTTTTTCATGATTCGCGATGTGGTTATAACTTTAAATTTTAATTAATTTGTTAGCAATAATTTTATTTCCTTCATTTCTTGTCTCTTTTATTTTTTTTTTTTTTTTTTTTTTTATCTATATCACAATCGTCATCGGGTTTTTTTTTACATACATGATATTTTTATTGTTGGTTTATCCCTGTATTGTCAATTCTCATAAAAATTATGTTTATTATTTCTTCTTTGTTCACTTTTTATTTTAAATTATTTATTTTAAAATTTTATTCTTATTATTTTTTATTTACTCGTTGCGTTGAAGGCGATGTCGGTTTCTTTTTTAGAAATAGAGAAATAACATAAGAAATTTCACCTATTTTAATTACACTTAACGTCTACAATTGGTCATTAAGTTACAATAATTATAATTGGTTACAAATATGTTCTATATTTAAAATTGCTGTATAGAAAAAAATAAAGTAGAAGTAAAAAAAAAATATAATACAGTACATTATTATCCGTGTTTGTTTGAATGTTTTTTTTTTTTTAATCTTGGAGCACAAAAATTCATACAAAGCCAAACACGTTTAGTCTGTTATTTTGTTGTTCTTAAATTTCACAATTTATATAGCTTCAGTCTTATAGCGTGGCAGTCGATTTGTTAATTACTAATAGCAAAAAAAGAATTTAACAAATCGATCCTATATATAGTATGTACGTTTTTATGTTTATGTTAATATAATATTATATTATATTATATAAATGTGTACAATATATTTAAATATTTATCCGACATTAACTGACACTATTTGCAACTCATAAAGAGATGAAGAGATGAATTTAATAATAAAAAAATTCACATCTACGAAAACACAAATATGAATATAATAAATATAAATACTGTATGAATTCGTGAAAGTGATATTAAAAACCATCAGATTAAAAAAGTTGCATATCATATGCAGTACACAATGCGAGTATATTCTTACGCGTATCTATTGTGCGTGTGCTCCCGACGTTTGCTTCCTCTCCGTTCACGCTCAGAGATTAGTTGAGGGCTTGGAGAACTTGAATAGACTACGTTGTTAGATCCCCGACTTGGTGGGACGCTTATCGGTGGCGGTGGCGGTGGAAAAAAACTCTGCAAACATGCCTGGAATACCAATTTATTTAATTTACCACCGCTTGAAATCAACTTGAGATTTTCTATGTATATATAAATAAATGTATATGTATACACTTGGTAATAAAGATACTTTTATTATAAAGATCACGACAAAAAAATGATTAAAAAAAAAAAATTTCTTCTCGAGATAACAAATTACGATAGTAATAAAAAAAAATTTGTTTACCTTAGCGCTACCTCTCGACGATGTTTTCGAAAAGACACTTTCATGCTCGCTACTGGTACTGGGTACTGGTATTGGAACCGCATAATCATATGTGGGATCTATATAGTTAAAAAAGAGATTATTATATAAGAATATCATTTGGTTTTGTTTATATAATTTAACAACTATGGATATGAAATTTGATATTAATAAAAAGTATATTAAGTATATTACCTGAACATTCAATATTATCATGCAAATCCTTATTGTCAATAACAACGGTACTATAACCATAATAAGTAGCTTGCGATGGTTCTCGATATTTGTTTTCATGAAACGGTTCCTGGTATTCATCTAATCTAACATCACCGAGTAAACGATCATTTAAATCACGCGGTAATGTTGTTAATTTAGCACCAGCATAACGATCATCAAAATCTTCAACTCTGTACGTCATTAATGACGAATCTTTTTCTCCAGTTGTGCCGTAAGCAGATTCTGGTGATAAATGTTGATGATTACCAGAAGGTATTGATTCTTTAGCATCAAGAGAACTGGCAAAGTTCTTCCTTTGCCGATGATGCGATACGATGAAAAATATTGCAACAGCTAATAAAAGTATTACAGCTGTCAGTACACCGATTATAACAGCCATGTACGTTGGATCGTCCTGTTTAGCCGTTGAGATAGGAATTTCCGCTTGCAGTGGAATATCTTTTGAGGTACTTTGGTTCTTTGTACGTGGTGACTCGGTCGAGGGGGGAAATTCTGGCGTAAAATTCCCATGGGCTATGTCTGTCAACAGTGATACGATAAAACATAAGTGGAATTGATTATTTATTTTATTTTTTTTTTTTATTTTTTTCTATTCTATTTATTTTATTTTCTTCGTTGGCTAAGCCGCTGTGTCGAACGTTATTTGGGTTATAACTCGGTAAATGAGATAAAAAAAATAACTTAATGATAAAGAATGATATCAAATGAAATACACAATGTGACTCACCAGAATCAAAAGTGATCTCACTTATCATAAGCCACTTGGCCGCTAAAGTAAATCGTAATTTTATGAATCTACCAATGCGATGGTGAAGTTTTATTGACACATTTCGTGGAGTTTCAAATATTTTATCTTCTATGTACGCATAAATTATTGGATCACTTATGTACCATTTTCCACCAATGCTGAATGATATATTTACCTCGGAAAAAACCTGAAATACAACAAAAAAATAATTGATTAGTTTCAGTTTATTAATATGATATTCAAATTAACAGACATTTGTCAATTTTTTTAATTATTATAAAAAAATTCCACATCTAGAAATTTATAAGGATTACAACCATAAATTTTTTTTAAATATTTTTTTTTCATAATCGATTTTTAATAATAATAAAAAAAATTGTCAGATGTCAGTTGATTTCAGTATTATTTATTGATTTTAATGGCGGTATTATATTTTTTTATTTATTTATTGAATTAAGCGGCCATAGAACAAGTGTTCTTAAAGGGTCATAAGTACAATTTACATAGTGAGTATAATATTAATAAATAAGCATTTATGTATATATATGGGTGATTTTCTGTAAATACGTCTTAAATCTGTACAAAATTATCCGACCAAATTATTTTTGATTTTATTAGAAAAAAAATTAACAAGGGCTACAAAACTATAAGCTTAATGATAATAAATAAACAAACAAATTAATTTTTGTTTTTTCAAAATATTTGTGTGTCTTTTGCCAGATAACATGACAGGGGACTGTTTTTTTTATCAAATTTTTTCAAGTTTTCAATGAATGTTTACATTAATTAGAATAATATTTAGACTTATGGATCCAATTTTGTAAATAAATTATAAATAAAAATAGCTTCCAGGGGACTGAGTTTTGAAGTGGCCTAGACACATATTTCCAGCACAAACGGTGTTTTGACACTAAATAAAATAGCGATAAAGCGCTACAGCCCTATGGTTATTAACTTAAGGCTAGTTAGATCCTTATAAACCTTACAAAAGGTAAAATAACGCGCTGGATTTTTTTTTGGTTTTGAATTTCTGGCAGGGGACTGTTCTTAAAACGCTTGGGACAAACTTTGTTTTAATGAATTTAATGAAACAAATTAATTTTCGGTACTTTTTATTGAAGAATATTGTTAGTTAACTAATTAAGTTTATAAACATTATGGACAAAATGATATATTATAGACGAAAAACTTAAAATTTAATCTTAAAGTTTCAATTTTGGGAATGGGACAGCCTAGGGGACAGTTATTTCGGTGGTTACGAATTTATAGCAAAAAAACTAAAATTTATTTCATTTTAATTTTCAATGCTCCAAATAGAAATGTTTTTTTTACTTTCGTAACAAATTTTTTTCAGTAACAAAATAACAATTTTTCCAATAAAAAAATGTCTGGAACAGCGAAAAACATCCTTACAGAGAATCACCCATTTATTATACCTACTAACATACTAAAAAAAAACTAATAGATTGAAAAAGAATTTTCACGCTTCGCAATACTTCAACCAATTAAAATATTTAGAATTTTTTATGAACAATCGTGTATTTATTTTTTTATTAGTTCATTAAAAATACAATTACTATAAAAAAAAAAAGTAATTTTTTGAGAAAATTATAAAAAAACAAGAATTTGACATTTTGAAAAATATCTTTTGAATTGTTTGTTTTTATAAAAAAAAAATATATTTATTTCAACTGGTATTTAACATATATTTAATTTACTAATCAATAAATTTACATCTGACAGTTTTGGTTTATTAATTTTAACACAGTGATAAATTTGAAACGGTACTTTTGATCATTTTTATTTGTACGTCATCAGACCAATAGCTTGTTTAATTAGCATAAAAAAATAATTAAGAAAAAAAAATATATATAATATCAAAAATTGAATTTTTTATAAAAATAAAATACGTTAGATATAATTTAATAATAATAAATAGACAAGTAGACAAACAAATAATTAACATAAAACCTGTTTTTTGAATATAGATGATATTTTGTTATGTTATGAAGCAATAAAATGCTTCATTAATTACGGAATACTTTCTAATTTATAATTATTTTGAGCTCTCCCTTCAAAACAGATTTTATAATCTAAAGTGCTGAGAAGTAAAAATGAAATAAAATATAATTATCATATGTATATATAAATTTACCTGTACATCTTTAGTGAATTGATTATTGCAAAAGATATGAACAGCTGAAAACTCTCTGACACGATCAAATTCAAATTTAATATCGAGTGGGTGTCCAGCTCTTGTGTCATTTCTCCATCCGACCCATCCTTGACTTCGATCATCACCATAGTATCCCATTTTGAAGTCATCAGGTCCAGTACGACCGTCCGTAAGTTGTCCTAAGCCTCGTTGCAATTCATCATCCCAAAATCCATCATAGGTAGCATCGAAGAATTCCCAATTGCCCCGTTTATCGCCCTGTGGCATCGAGTATGATACAATACCATCATTCCATGGGCATCCATACAATTCGACGCGCATACAGACGGTACGATAATGATAACTGTACGGGAGGAATCGAATTTTCGTCGCCCAAATTGCTGGTTCGAGCTCGTGTTTCGATTCTAGATATGTATTTGTATTGCCTTTTATTACCTTGTTCATAACAAACAAAAAATAATTATTAATTACTGCTACTATAATTTACATATTTCAATATAATTAATTTTACTAACAAAAGATAAAAATGCCAATTACTAACACTCTATTTTTTAATTTAAAAATTTTATTACAATTTACTCTAAGTTAAATATATAGTGAAGTGAAAAATAAAAAATTCTGATATTTTATAATAAAATTCATCAATTCATGTTTTTTCTTTATAATAGGTAATGCCTTTTAATAAAATAAAATAAGCATTAATAGTGTTAGATAAATTAGATTTTTTAAGAAACTAATTAGATATATAAGAATTTACTGGCATAAGGTACATACCAAATTTTTATTAAAATTATAATTATAAATATTTACACTTCTTTGATAAAATTTTATACTATCATATTTCATACTAAAGTAATTGTAATTACGTATGAGATAAAAAAAAAATTAATAATTCTTTTTAGTTAACATTATTTTTTTATACTATATATTGAAAGTAAATTATTTACTAGTCAAATGAAATTAAATGGAGAAAAAAATTTTTCTAGTCGATAAAAAATTATTAATAGTAGTCAAATCGAAAATGCAATTCACGAAAATAAATTAGACTTATCGTTGAGTTGAAACATGATGACAATAAGATATTTTTTAAGTTATCAATAAGGTAAAAGTATCGATTATTAGCAGGAATCCAATTATTGACACTATTTTATTTTGAGATTTGTTTAATTATCTATGGTATTATTAGCAATCGAATGCTTTTTTTACAATTTAAATAATTTAAAGAATTAAAAAATTTATTAGTTGTGAAAAATATCAAATATTCATTAATAAAAAAAAAAAAGTTTACTTCAGTTTATTGAAATAACATCTCGTGAGTGTAAAATTTCTCAACTATTCTAGTTAGACGTGCCCTTTAAAAAAGCTAATTTTTCATTTTTTTTTTTTCATCTATGTAAATTTTTTGTTTTTAAATGAATGAAAACTCAATAACATTAGATATTTACAATGAATTTAATGGTTATTATTTTGAAAATAATGTCAATAATTAATACATAAAATTTAAACTGCATCATATTGGCAGCCTGTAACCTCGAACGTTTAAGAAGAACTGTAACTTTTTATTTTAAAAATATTAAAAATAATTTGAATGACGTAAAATAAATACATATTTATTTTGTATTCTTGACTTATTTTATTTATTTCAACAAATGAATGACCTTTGCGCATCACTATATCAATAGTTTGTACAACAACATGTCACAAAGATCAGATAATTTTGATGTCAGCCTGTCAATACAATAATTGGTGTATCCGAATAATTGACTTCATCATATAAATTATTGAATTAAAAGCGAGTAACTATTGAATTAAAAGCGCAAGTAATTGAATGGTTTGGAGTTTTTCATATTTCAATTTATGGAAAATTTATCACTATTAAGGTAAAAGACCCCATTAGTGGCGGGGACCCCATTACTGACCCTTTCTTTGATTTTGGTACTTATTCAATTAATGAAATCATTAATTTCAATAATGAATATATTATTTCTAATCTTTAAGACCTTTAGATCAAAAAAATTTTTAATTTTTATTCCAAGTAGAACATTTTTTCATTGAAAGAAAATGTGCCACTAATAGGGGTTAAAGGTGCCACTAATGGGATCTTAATTATGAAAATAATTATGAGTTTATAGAGTCTATTAATAGTTAAGATATAGAAATGTGATAAAATTTATTTGAATTATTATCAAAAAGCCATTATGATTGACTGCAGGAAGTCGATAAGCGAAAAACACTATGCTGAAAAAAAATTAACTTGAATCAAGACAAAAAATTCTTGAATCGAGTAAAATTTACTTAAGTTGAGAAAAACTTCAAAGTTTAAAAATTTTTTTACTCAAATCAAGACAATAAAGTTCTTCGAAATCATTTTCTTGATTCAATTTAATTTTTTTTTCGGTGCAGTAGTTGATTGATTGATCTAGTAGACGACCGCAAATGCTTCAGTAGCTGATCAGTCAAGTATTGTTATTTCTTTGATTTTATATTAATTTTTTAAGTTTAAACAGCATACTTTTCTATACAAAATTGTGTTATTATCAAACTCAATAATTAATTAATGAAAATAATCGTATTAAAATTTTAAGAGATCTGATAAGTAGGCTTTTTTTTCAATAACAAAAATTATAGTCATAAAACATTTAAAAAATGTGTACATATAAATTTTTTTTATCTTCTAATAGATGTACATTGGTACATTGAAATGTTTTCCTCTTAATTGGTGAGTTAATAAAACCGAAATATCATTAGACGTTTGTTCTTTTTTAAGTATTATCAAAAATAATATATATTTATAAGTTTATAAGGTTTATACTATGAGCCTAAATTTAACTGAAAAATGTTCTCGTTGCCTAAAATATTAATTTTAACTGAAGAGTAGTAACGTAAAATTGATGCTTTTAGTATTTATATACAAGAATTTATAGTAGTTGACATGCGGTCATTTACTAGAACAATAGTGTTTTTATGGACCCAGTATCTGAACGGTGGTTAAACTTATATTTACATGTATATTTACTATTATTATGCCTATAAAGTTATTATACATCTTCAAATGGCTTATACAAAATGTTTTTAATTCAAAAAAAACCAGTAGATGTTATTTTATTGATTAAAAAAAGTAGTCATGCACCTCCCCGGAGTACTATTGTAATAAATGATTTATATCAAATCACACAGTCGGTAATTTTCGTGATTTATTTTTAGATTTATAAACACTGCAAAATTTTGAGTGTAGCTATGATTTATGCATGTTATGAGTCCGGGTATAATTAAAACATATTTTGAGACCATAAAATCTTCGTTTAATAATAATATTATGACTTTTATATACAATCGGTTAACTACACTGAGAGAAAAAATTTCTTTGAAAAAAATCGGCATCGTTGTAACAAGAAATTAATTGTTGAAAATTTTTAATAATTTTATTTCTTAGCTGAAGAAATAAAAATTTTTTTAACAGTAATTTTTTTTCAACAAGAAAAAATTTTTTTCAACACCATGCTGAAAATTTTTGAGAGTATATTCGGAGGATATATTAGGAGAACTTCTAAATTAAAAAAAAATAAAAACAAAAATTAAATTGGTAATCATCAAAAAAATTTGAGTTTTTTTTTCGAAAAATTACTTTTAAAAAAAATAGATGAAAACTTGAAACAATTTTTCTGTACTATTTTTTTTTTTTTTTTTTTTTTTTTTTTTTTTTTTTTTTTTTTCGATAACTGCATTCAAAAACAAAGAAAATGAAAAAAATTTTTTTTGATTTCGTCCATTTTTTACCAAACTTTAGGGTTTTGAAAAAGAGATTTAACCTAATTCGTATCATATTAGCCATTTTTTAATTAAAAAAAAATTATTAACTACTTATAAGCATTTGTATTGAGTGACCCTGTCATTGGCCTGTGGCTGTTGGGTCTTGTAGGAAATAATAAAGGAAAATAAAAAAAAATATGTCAAAAATTTGTAATTGCAATCCTAACTGTCTCTTATAGTGTCAATAATTGATAATTTTACGTTAGTTTGCGTGCAACTATTGATCGTTAATAAAACTTACTTCTTCACCGCGAACATCTTTATATCGGACCCATTTGCCGAGCTTTGGTCTCCAGTATTCAAGGATATATCCTTCTGCAAATTCAACTCCAACTCCATTTCCAAAACGTCCCTGAGTTGCAGTAGCAGTAATAACGTGCATGGTGTGCAAATCTATTTCTAGCCATTCATGCGGCTCTGTTGTGACCTGTTGTTTTGGACACCAAGCACCGCCATGTCGTTCTTGTTTCAATCTAAAATCATAAATAAAAAATTAAAACCCCTTAGAAAAAATAAAAAGAAATTATCATAAATAGAATTGAATAGCTAAACATCTCAGAGTTTTTTACTGGAATTATAAATGAGATAAGATAAAATATTACAGTATCTTTTCGGTGGGGCATTAGATATTACGGGTGTTTTTTTGTAATAATAGCAGGAAAAAAAAAAGCATTACACGTTTCCACAACTTAACTTGCCATTTCTCAAGCTGTCTTAGTAATTTAATGAATCGTGTATCCCCCTATTTCTCAATGTTTCTTCCTCTCAGTCTTGTAACTCTCGCGGCTCTACCAAATAGAACGTGTTATGTCGTTTCACGCGGAGCATGCGTCACGATTCTACCAAGCTAGTATAATTGTATATGTAGTATATATAATATAATAGTTGGAGCGAGCATGTGCACAGCGGGTTCGAAATTCTGAGTACATCGCCGGTTGATCCAGAATATATATCTCTAGGTATAGTATAAGGTACATATTAAAATTTATGATAATGGGCGTCAAATAGAAAATGAGTCAGAAAAGCAAATGTATCGCAGGTAGATTGAATACCAGTATAAAAATCAAATGTTAATTTCTGTCATGGAAACAGCTATAAAGGTAGTCTTACAACATTATCAATGCTTCTATATCTTGATCGTTACTAGATATATATATATATATAAGTAGGCGTCAAGTGTATAGCGGTATTAAACCTATTTACACAGTGAAAATAAACTACTCGATGCAGGAAAAATTTCTTCTTTAAGTTCATTAAGAATAGAATAATTAAATAAAATTACAAAATATCAATTTTTTGAAAAAATTTTTCAATTGTCATTTTGAAATAAAAATTTTTTTTTAATTGTTATTTTTAAATGACAAATACTATAAATTTTTAAACTTCTGTGTCAAGATAAAGTTTTGGTTAAAATTAATTAATTAATAAAAATCAGGTGACCGTGAACCGATGAAAATACCGTCAATTTTTTTAATTGAAAAAAAAAAAAAAAAAAAGGTTTTATTTTACACTTATTTTAATACATTTTATGAACGATTTTTGATAAACATTTGACTTTTTCCAACATTAAAAGCTTCAATTCTAATTGAAATTTTTTTTTAGTAAATAGTAAATTTCAAAAGAAAAATTCTTGAACAAAGAAGATTCTAAAAAGTTGAATCATATTGAATCGAATGGAATAATTTTTGATCTAAGACATTATTCTTGACTCAAGTAAATTTTTACGTGGTTTAACAATTTTTCTTCTTGATTCTGCAGGATAGTAAAACTCTTCAAATCAATATTCTTGGTTCAAGAATTTTTCTCTTATAAATCAATTAAATTTTTTTATCAATGTTTTAGGATAAAGAATTTGATTGTATCGATCAAAAATAATTTACTCTTAAATTCTTGAAGCTCAACCACCAGTTCTTTAAAATAAGTTTTTTGAAAAGATCTTTGGTTTCTTTAATCAAGATAGTTTAGTTTAATAATTTTTCTATTAGTATAAGAGTAACTACAGTACGACATGAAGCAGTTAATTTGAGTATATTTTCGAGAAAAGTAAAACTTCAAAGACGGCATAAGCCAACGAACTTAACCGGCTGCTCTGGCAGTTAAGTGTCAAGTGCCAAATCACATAGTAAATGTCAGTGCGACAGGTTTACCACTAACTTAAGGAATAAATACGTAGCTTTTTAGAGAAGAGATGTATAGACTAGAGAAAGTTTTATCTTTCTTATTTTTATTATTATTATTATTATATATGCAATATGATGCACATGTATATATTAGTGTCTTTTACATATTAGACTTACCGTGCAAATTGTGGTCCGACGTTGCTACTGTCAAAGCTCGAGCTTGCTGTGATGTCGGCGTCTGGAATGATTCCTGCTTCCATTCCCAAAGGGGCAATGCATTGTGCTGCAAGCAGAAAAAAGGAATTCGATATGCAAGCCATTACATATTCATTCGAAGTCTGTAGCTTGAGCACGACTACGACGAGAGCCCTCATTCTCCATCCATTTGCTCGGACTCTTCAGTCACAAAAGCGTGCTTTCTAACTTTTCACTCCTCCTATCGTATCTCGATATATACATATATATCAAGATACATAGATATACATAGCTTGCAAACGCGGATAAAAACGAAGAAATGCTTTCAGAAATGAAAAGTTTGAGGTGGAAAAATTTTTTGTTACATGAATAAAGTATTATTGAAATATCTATGAGAGTTCCTTTGTATAGCACACGGCAAAAAATAAATACTTCTTATGAAAAAAAAATTCTGTTAGAGATATTCAGTTATTATGTATGTATAGGGATAGTAGGCGCACCAATAGATGGACAAATATTATTTTAACAACCGATTATAATAAGTTCAAAAACGACATAGTGAAAGAAATGTTATTTTTATAAACATACAGGTCTATGATCATGTTAAATTAATCTTTTTTTTTTTCTTCTTTAGGTTTTTATAATCAAAATAAATATTTTTTTTTATTAAAAAATTTTAATACTATCATAAAAAAATAATATATTACTAACAATTTTTATTTCGACAAAAATGTGTACACTGCAAAAGTTATATATTGTGTAAAAAGAAAAAATTCTCAGGATTCCGAAAAAATTTTATCTACTTCAATCGCATTTTTTAGAGTTTTCGGTCACTTTTTATGTACAATTAATAGTTCCCTAGGAAAGCTGATAATTTTTTACATGAAAGTTATGTTGCATCCATTCTAATAAAAATTATTTTCGTTCGCAAATATTACTTGAAAAATTGAATATTGGCGAAATAAAAAAAAAAAAGTTACTCCATAACACTCCATAAAAATAATTTTTTTTTTTTTTCCCCAATAAAACAGCTCATTTATAATGTATCTGTCATTAGCCATTATTAATGTAAAGAAATGGCTTTGTAACGTATGTGTAATATATATTATATTCATATTTTATGAGAATAGAGTGAATGCATAAAATGCTCTAAGAAAATTACTTGACTCATGACAGCCTTTTTTTTTTTCTTATATATTTGATCGATTTGACACATCATTAAGTAATATATGACACATAATTAGTAGCATTAAAAGAAAAATGTTTAAATGTAATAAAAATTGTTTTTCATGCATTTTAGAAATAACTATGTCATCTTATATTTATTGATTAATTTTATTAAATTTAAACTGTTGTCAAACTTCAAATCTTCTTCAAAGCTGAAATATTCTTCATATTAAATAAAAGAAAAACTTCTTTTTTTATAAATTTTTATTTCACATGAGATTTTAATGTTTTCTTGCTAATCCATTAATGATATTGAAATGAATTAATCATCTGCTAATTTTTAAAATCCTTTTCTCAAATAAATTATTTTAAAAAAAAATTTTTTGAATCCTATACATGCGAAAAGTGACAAAAACTGTAAATGTAATTTTTTAAAATTTTTCTTATTGCTAGTTTATGTTTAATAATTTTATTCATCACATTTACTTAATATGTTTATTTATTGATATTATGTAGGTATAATTAATTTTATTAAAACTTATTTATATTTTATCCCATTATTTCATTATATAAAGATATAGACAAGAATCTGGTTAACAGTCCATCTGTTGGGGCGTTTACCCTATTCACATACATTACACTCTATTATTTTATATCTCGTTATACTTACATATGTCTATAGCTTCTCCATCGTTAAGATAGAGAATGAAAAGGTAAAAAAGATAAAACAGCCGCAGGTTATTCATTACGACAGACGTTTTAAATGCCGATTACTTTCACGAGGGCTACTCGAATCTCATAGTCACAGTTGATGATACTTGTTGTAGGTCTGAAACATAAAATAAAAAGAACAAAAAATTAATTACATTCACATTCTGTTTTATAATTTATAACGTCTTAAATAAAATTTAATTCGACAATTATTATCACTTATTATTTCTTATCAGTGAAACCAATTCCATAATTTCAGTGTATAATTGGAAGTTATTGAAGTTAAAAAAAAAAGAAGAAGGTAGTTATGTACGTATAGTAGTTTAACTACCCTATGGCTCATTCTCTTTGTCAGGCACAGTGATTCGTGTCGACTGGGCTGAAAGCGACGGACAAAGAACGACATTCACGCTAGCAGCCATTATGCATCATTACCAAGATTACGATCAGACTCACGGAGAGTAGAGTGAACGAAATTGAAAGAGAACTCGACTGGTAAGGCTGCCGCAGATGCTGCCTGCTCTCTTTACTCTACTCCTTTACTTCTCCTTGTTGGAATAAACTCCAGGCTAATCGAGTACTTTATTTTCTTCGTTTGAGATGTCGTTTATGCGACCACTGACTTCTTCTCAAGTACACCGTCCATATAGATATAATATGTATATTCAAGAGAAATGAGGAAGAACAAGAATACTAGACGATGTCAATTATTCTTAAAACCTACGCTTTTCTTAAGGATAATTAAAATTTTGAATTTTATTTTAATAACTGGATCAGATATCATCTTTATAATTATTTTTAATTTAAGTGAAATTTAATAAATTTTTTAATTTAATTAATAAAAGATTGAAAATTAGAAATCGAATTTTCATTAATTAATCAGATATTTTTATCATTTTTTCAATGAAGAGAATAAGGAAAATTTTGTCTCAGACATATCTATGCATCATTTGAAAAGTCTTGACCTGAATTTGTGCCTTTTGATAGTTTCATATAGTTTCAGAAACGATAGTTAATTTATTATTTTGAATTTTCAGAGTAGTTTTAAATTAATTCAAACTTCGTAACAAAAATTGTGTTTATTTTAATTTGAATACTTAAATGTGGTTAGAAGTTGAGTTTTCATCAATGAACATTAATTTTAAGAAAATAAACATGATTTATTTTCATTTAACAGAAAATCAAATAAATTTCGTTTATAAAAAAAAAAAAAAAAAAAAAACTATCATGAATCAAGAGAAAATCTTTCCAAAAACTTATTTTAACGATTGTTGCTTCAAGAATTTTTTTTCTTAAATCTCGTCATCGTGATAGTGTTTGGATCATTTGTCTTTGAGTAATCACTGCAGCAAATTCGAAAAATTCTGTTTCGAGAAAAACGCGTTTAAAGATAAAATGATCCTATTCTAACTGCAGAGCGGTTACTCTAGAAATGGCTGTAACTCGAAAACTATTTGAGATATCGATTAAAAATTTTAGTATGTTATTTTTAAAGGTATAAGCTATCGAAGTATGAAACAAAAAAAAAATCGATTTTGTAAAAATTTCATACTACGTGTGCCCCTTAAATCTCATCATCGTGACTTAAAATACGAATATCTTCCATTAAGGAAGTCCTTTCGCTCCAGTTGAGTCACAACAACCGTAGTAGTCAATATTCGATAAATTAAAATAAAAAACCCATAAAAATTCCTAAAATTAAAAAATAAATAGTATATGAGGCATTAATCGTTGAAATTTTGAAAATTAAAAAAAAAAATAGTTAAATACAAAAATTAATTTGACTCTTGTAAATCAGCTGTTAGTAACCAGTCCGTGATTTGGCAACGCTTTATTTCGGTTGTTTACATTTTTATTTGCACAATATAACCTTAACCATGCTTAACTTTTGCAGTCAATGTAAATAAATAAATTAATTAAAAATGTTTAGTCACAAAACCATAACATTTTAATATCTCATGGCAGGAATGCTAGTATTTTTTAATTATTGTTTTATTTTTCAATTATGAATTATGAAAATTTGTTAACAATAAATTAACTAATAGTATGTATGAAAAACATAAGCGCGTTAAAGTTTAGTTTGAATTTATTGAATGGTCTGAAGCTCGCGCGCTACACAACGTTGCCAAATGTTCTGACGCCATTTAAATTAAATGTAGGTTACTTAAAAATTTTCTGTGATTTTATAATTATAATTTCTCTATAAATTCCACGGCAACCTATATATTTTATTGCAAAAAATGAAACGTGAATATTTGGAAAACCTTATTTTGAGTTTTTTTTTGACCCCATCTAATCGGTGGTTAATGCCATAATTCGAGAAAGTTGTTAAGGTCTGACTTTCTCGTAAGACTCGGAAAAAATACTAACATTTTTAGAAATTTTTTTTTCAAAAATTTGCTCGGTGAAGTATAAATTAAACTTCACTAGTAGATACATAAGGACTTTAACGATTAGATAAAAATTAATTTTATGCATGATCTAATATTTTTTATTTAACATTGATGGCGAAAGGACCTCCTTAATAAAAATTACCCCTTTATTCAAGAGTATATTAATTTTGATTGGTAAAATCGAATTTTTCATCCAAGAATAATTCTCGAAAATTAACAATAATTTTGTTTTCTTTTACGAACTTTATATCGTTGGTTAAAGATCAAGTTTCTTCATTAAAAATAGCAAAAAAATCTTTAAAAAGAACGAAATTTTTACTTCAACGCATATTCTGAAACGTATTAAAGATTTTTATTTACACCGAAAGTACCCGAAATACGAGAATTTCTAGTTTTAACGATATTCTTAAAATAATTCGATAATATCTTAACTGAACGTTACCGCGTATCTTAATCCAAGAAAAAGAAACTGTTGGACAAAGTATGTATTTATCTTGTTTGAAAACAGTAAAGTGCTTCGTTAGAAGTATAATTCTACTGAAGAATTTTCTGCTCATCCAAGAGTTTTAATTTATTGATTCAAGAGTTCATTTCTTGAATTAAAAAAACTGAAAAACTTAAAACGAGAGTGAGATATCGATTAAAAATTTTTCGTCAATTGAGCAGATTTGTTTTTGTATGTTTCTAATAAAATTCATTCACACTTATTTTATTTCGTGACTAAAAATATATCCACACTGATAGAAAATTTATGTTGACTCAAGAGATATTTTCTTGATCTAAGAATTTATTTTGGAAGACAAATGATTATTTTGCTTTAAGAGCTATATTATCTTCAATCGATACACATTTAAGTTTTTCAATCAAAATAACATTATCGTTTAAAAAACTTAAAATAATTCATCGAA